ATACCTTGGGTTATCAGCTCTTCCGATCTGATAACCGATTGGATTTGATACCTGGATGATTGAGCATAAACTTTGTTAAATGGAACTGAATTTTATTCAAGCATTAGAATTTAGAGGTTAAATTAAAAGGAACTAGACTGAACATGAGAGGGAGCCTCCTGTTTCAAGTCAAGGACTGATCAATTCAATCAAATGTGTTTAAATGAAACAAACTGAAGAGAGCTTTTTGTTTTATCTCATTATGGCTCAAACACACATGTTTCTCTGTCTGCAGGCTAAGAGATCACGTCGCAGCAAAGACCAAACTTCCCATCCTCATCTTTCCTGAAGGTTGGTATTATTGCAGCATGCAGACTCTACACGAAGAACTCAAAAATTAAACTGATTCATTTAACAATCAAACTGCTGATGAGGCAGCAAAAACTTACAAGGAGGGTGATCAGGAACATGGAAGAGACACAACAAAAAACAAACCTGATTAATAAAGAACTTCTGACATGGAGACAAAAAGAGATTTGAAACTAAGGATGTGTGGGAGATTGATTGCTGACTGAGAACAGGCGAGAGTGTCGGGCTGACAGAGGAACAGACACGTAACTGCTTGTAGATAAATAATAACAGAAATGAAAACCGGGAAAGATGAGCTTAAAATTCACAAAATACAGAGCCATAAAGTGAAACCAAACCCAACCTTAAACACAAAGACAATCCAAAGGTAATTAAAACACACAGATCGTGACAGCTGTCCATCATCCCACGAGGACCTGAATGGTTGGATAAGACTCGGTTCTGTGTTTAATAGGAACCTGCGTCAACAACACCTCAGTCATGATGTTCAAAAAAGGAAGCTTTGAAATCGGAGGGACAATTTATCCGGTCGCTATTAAGGTAAGCTCCATTTGTTGCATTTCGAACCAGCGGCTCATCACTGTGGTGTCACTGGCAGCTTTATCACCAGTGCAACCAGAGTTTCATTTTGTTTTAGGAGACCCAGTCAGACTTGTTCTTACCTTCTTTTTGTCTGTTTGTGTCTCAGTATGACCCTCGATTTGGTGATGCTTTCTGGCACAGCAGCAAATACAACATGGTCAGCTACCTTCTGCGTACGATGACCAGCTGGGCCATAGTGGTCAACGTGTGGTATCTCCCTCCCATGACCATACAGGTATGAGCCTGAGGACGGAGTATTTTGGGTGGATTTAACTATGTTTGACATGTTGTGTGTGTGTTTGTTGAGAGCAGGATGGTGAAGATGCAGCTCAGTTTGCCAACAGGGTGAAATCTGCCATCGCTCATCAGGGAGGACTGCTGGACCTGGCGTGGTGAGAATAACCTCCACTACACTCAGATTAGAACAGCTGCTTCTCTGGAGTACAGTGCCGAGGCATCTACTGTACTCCTCAGCATTCAAATTTATTTCTGCAAATTACAGTCACCGCAGTCAGAGCTACTTTACTGACAACAGCTTGTTATAAAACAGTTGTCTCACTAATGCAACCTAATAAAACAAGAAGAGATAAAGTGATTTAATATTGTTTAAAAAGTTCAAAAGCAGGCTGGAGACATCATCAAGACAAGTTGTTCATGTATCGTTATTATCCCCAAGGGGCAATGCGTTTCACAGTCAGTAGAGATATAAAACATTCATACTACACAAGACATTAAAATAATATGGAAGTCATCAGTGTTCATTGAGAAGCCTGATCACTCCAGGGATGAATGTGTTTTTCCACTCTGTTCGTTCTACATCTGGGCAGATACCTGCATCCAGATGGAAACAACCTGAACTCACCACGGACTGGATGATCAGGATCTGCCAGAATCAGCCTGGCCTTGTTCAGGCAGGTCAGAGGAAAAGTTGTGGAGAAGTTCAGATCAGAGTTGGTAATAAATAAAAAAAAACACCCCAGAACTCAAGACTGTAAGGACGGTAAGCATCCGTCTGTAGGACAAATACGGTGCACGGAGCTGGGCTTCTTCGAAAGTGGCAAGAAAAAGACAGAACAAAGACAAAACAATGCAGATTATTTGAAATTATATCCTAAACATATAGATCAGATGTGATCAGATGAGACTGAAACTAATGGCAGCATCATGTTGTGGGGACGGTTTTCATCGACAGGAACTGGGAAACTTGGTCATAGTTGAAGAAAAAAAAAAATGGATGGAGCAAAACGTGGAGAGGTTCTTGAGGAAAACCTGTTGGAGCTGTCAATAGATTTAAAACTGGGGCAGATGTTCTCCCTCTAGCAGGACGACAAGAGGTTTAAGGACAAACGGTTTAACGTCCAGGAATGGTCCAGTCAAAGCCAGACCTCAGTCCAACTGAGAATCTCTGGTTTGATTCTAAAGATTGTTGAAGACACGTAGCGCCACCCAACCTGAAGGAGCTGGGACAGTTCGGTCATGAAAAATGAACAAAAATGTCAGATGAGCCAAGCTCATGGAAACATATACATTTATTTTAGTCTTGTTTTTACAATATTTTTTATAATCTTCAAAGTGAAAGTTTTATTGTGTAAACTGCAAGATGTACCTGTTCCCTCCGCACCGATCTTTAAATTCCAAGTTGTGTTGCAACTAAACAGGGTGAGTGTCAGGCGTGTAGCGTTGAACAAAATACTCAGCGAGAGACTGAGAGACTCCGAGACTCGTATTAATTAATGTGCTTTATTTACAGTGATTAATTTATACACAACAGGGGGAACTGGGAAACGAGTGTAGTGGTCACGTAGGTACGTGCCACTAGTTGTAGTATGACAATATATCCCCGTATATATGCATACAATTTCACGAGTTCCTCATCTTTCTGACTGTGTAATGTCGTGCA